GGAGTATAAAAGAACAACCATCATATTAGCAGCAGTATTAAATGGGACCTCTAGTGGAAATTATCAGTCACAAAAACATAAATGTTAAAAAAACAGACCTGAGCAACAGGCGCGTTATCATCAATAAAAGGAGCGGCAAGGCTTATGAAAGATGCTTCACCAACACCCACCAGCCTGGAAAAGAAGAGATATTAATGTAACCGAAGATACGCTCCCCCCCCCCAACCACACACACACACACAATAATTGCGAGTAATACATGACAGCTTGTGAAGAGTAATATGGTTAGACTTACATTCTGCATGTTGCAATGAACCAGAAATTAGTTGAGAAACCACAACCAACAATAGCTATTGTCCACACTGTCAGTCCAACTCCAATAAGTCTAAACGGATTGACCCTGCAGAGTTAACAAACACATGGTGACATGGGTAAGAAACTCAAGCAATTGATTGAACTAAAGAAGCAAGAATGTGCATACAATTCGCGTATTTTTCATTTCCCTAGTGAAACTCTGTCTGATACTATTAAGCAAATTATATGACAAAGTTGCAAACTGAAAATAAGACAGTTCTACTTCAACTCTGACAGACATAGAAAGAAATGCATCTTCAGGTATGCCCCATGTAGAAGTAAAAGAGTATTCTTTTTTAGGTTGTAGTGTGATTTGCTTTTGACTAAACAAACTTGTCAGTTCAATGGTCTGCTCTAATTAGATTCATGTACTACAGCAAAGAAGTTAAATAGAAAGAAAATTTGGTAGGGCCCAACCCTCTAATAGGGATTTTAACATGGTTTTTGTTACATTTACAAAGGCTTTGCTACCTTTTACCAACAAGTAATTCATGAGAACAGAGTCAAAATTTCTTCCAACATATTGGAAGTACATCTTACACTTGCAAATAAACAACAACATACCCAATGTAGTCCCAAAAGTGGGTTCTGGAGAAGGTAGGATGTACAGACCTTACCCCTACCTTTATAGGTGGGTTAGAGAGGTTGTATTCGATAAAAACTTGGCTCAAAATAAGTATAATCAAAGCAGGACTGAAGAAGAAATAAAGGCAACAAAATAGCAAGATAAATAGAGCATATGAAGCAACAGGTACGGCAATCTAGTAGTGAATATTGAAAAATAAGATGCTAAGTGAATACTAACTAATACTACAAAATAAGGACAAGATGAGAAGATGCAAGGGGCCTCTCACACAGAAATGATAATAGTACGACAACACTTGGCTATCTACTACCCTTATCATCGATTTCCAAACCTTCCAATCTAGGGCCTGCCCATCGTAAGTTGAAGATGTGTCATGTTCGGTCTAATCAACTCCTCCCGTTCCTCTTCGGTCTACTTCTACCTCTCTACCTCAACTAAAACCTTCTATAACCAACCTCTCGCACCTTCTTACTAGTGTATTGCCGCACCTAGTCTTTACATGTCTGGACCATCTCAACATCACTTCCATCATATTGTTATAACCTCATTCTTAAATCTTACAACTACCATGTGCATGAAAAGTTGCATACTATATTAAGTCTTCAGAAAACGATTTCACCTGTGGTAAGGGTCAAATCATTTGGCATATGGTGAAAAGGATTAAGAGTAAAACTAGTAGGTAATTTGAATGAAATCTTCCGCTTTCTCAAATCATATAAAGATAGTTTCAATTGTTAAATCCTACTTCTCTCAGGCGCAAGCAAATAAACTTCTCAAAGTTAATGTTCTTAAGTCTGAAATATATCTGCAACAAGGTATCAAAAGCCTGTAATATACGGGGATTTACCTCTTGGCGAAGGAGGCAAATATTGGAGATGCCACCAGAAGCCCAACCATGAAAGCAGATGATATGACCCCATCCTGAAAATTACTCAAATTAAATTCACCCCTGCAAGCAAACAGAAACAAGCTCATGATAAGACTAAGCACGCATTATGATGATGTGTAATTAAAAAGTAGTTCCATTACTAAATTCGGAGAGGAAAATTCATTATTAACGTACATTATCCCGAAAGGATTGTAATTCTCAATAATAAGCATTAGTAAATCAACAAGAATATGAAGAACAGAGAGAAAAAATATCAAACATAAGCAAGGAAGAAAACTTAGGGTGGAAACTCGAAAACCAAATCTTTTTCAGAGTTGAGCAGGCTATAGAACAAATTCCAAAAGAATACTCACTGAATTCCGCTGCCAGAAGAACATGTACCATCTTTCGTACAAGTTCGACGGTTTCCATTAACACCATTGCTCGCAATAGATCCACGATCCACATAATTTATTAAGTTGATCACACAGAATACCGCAAGCAACCTGATAATTTATAGCAGACACATTAGAGGCAAATAGTGCGGGTGAAGTAAAGGTTACAACTTACAAGTGCAGGATATGCTAGTAGACATAACCTCTTACCAAGGGATTTCGAGTTTCTACCAAGATTTTGAGGGTTTCGAGTCACAAAGGAGCAAAGTGGGAAAAGGGTCACAATTGTGAGGATTTGGGGGTTGGCAGTTGGAGATTTGACATATCAGTACAGAAAACAAAATCTGAAGAATGCATAAAAAATTGACTACTTCAAGAAGTATAAGATATCAAATATAACAGAATTGGAATAGAAACCTTCCGTGCAAAACTCAGTAATTCCATGTAAATAAAGAGAATATTAATTCAATTAGGAGATCCCATTAGGTAACTCCACCAAGAAAGTCAGCGCAAATCATTCTTGAATTTTGTTTCTTGAAGGCGCAACCAATTTCATCGATTATAATGTCCAAGAAAAGCGAATCAAACCTTATAATTGCAATTCCAAGAAACATTGAAATTCAAAAGACACCCAGTTGGTAAAAAAAAATAGAAATTCAAAATTCTTGGAAACCCAGTTGGTAAAAACACAAAATTCATCTTTAACACGCAAATGGGTAAAGGAAAAAGTCACCTTTTGGCAGTAAACCAAGAAGGTTGAGGAAGTAATGACGATGAAATTGAAGGTTTTGCCATATCTGTAGCTGCAAGCACATCAAGAGTTGATGTGTCAGGTTTATGTGTTGAATTTGAATCATCCAAAGACTTTGGGTCTGGTTCTTGTTTCCCCATTTAAAGAAAAAAATAAATAAACAATATATATTAATTCTTTGACTGGAAGGAAACTGTTTCCTTCCTTCCCCAAAAGCCTTTGATTTTTAACCTATTTTCTCTTTTGGCTCAATAATGGAGTTAGACTTTTTTGCTGTATTTCTTTAACTTTATAATAATGGAGAATAAATCTTGTGTTTGCACTTCACAAATACATGGTAACTAAAAATCAGGAGAGCCTCACTGGATATTCTGCACATTCCTACTTCTCTCATTAATTTATACAGATAAAAACGCTCAATTTCTATTTAAAAATATTATCGAGGAATTTTAAACTCTAAATCTAAGTTTTTTTTTTTAGAAAAAAATATTATTTTCTTTGTTTCATTATATGTTATATTTTTATTATACGCTTACATTAAAAATACTGTAATTTTATCCTTATATTCTTACTTAATTTTTTCGAAATGAAGTTTCAATCAATGAATATGAATTAAATTATTTTGATTAATTAATATGTTTTCAATACTAATACTCCCTCCGTCCGGTATTGTTTGTCATGATTTCTATTTTTAAGGTCAAACTATAAAAATTCCGATTAACATTTTAAGATGTATTTTTTTATCATATTAATATGCAAAAAAATTGTAATTTTAGCACTTTTCATATGATTTTAGAATATCTATTTTTTTGTTAAAATATCAAATTAATGTGATCCAATTTACCTTTGAAAATTAATCAAATTAACTTTCGATAAGCGTAACATGACAAACAATTTCGGACGGATAGAGTAACTCATAAGGATAAAAAAGGATTTATATGATCATTTATGCATTGATTTTATAAAATTACAAGTATTATGTAAAAATAAATGACATATAAAATGAGCAGAGATAATATATATTATTAGAAGTATAAAATACGAGTAGAGCAAACTTCTTTTAATATTTTGTAGCTTACAAAAGTTAAAATAAAGCAATATAGTTAAGGATTGGTTTAGTTGAAAAATAAGTTATTTTAAGATAATTAATTTTAAAATAAATTATTTTATCATTTTATTTCAATAAATATAATATAGATTTATTTAAAATAATTTTTAAAATTAATTATCTCTTGCTCCTCTATCAAATGAGCTAAGTTAATTATTTGCATGCTTTAATAACATTTGTGACACATGTGCAGAATCTTAATTACTTCTTTTATTAATCACATGAATTATTCTCTAAGATTACTTCCTCTATTTATCTTATTATGGACCCGTTACAAAAGTTCGTTAATTTGTCATTTTATATATTTTTTAAAATAATTTTTTCCTTACTTGTTAAATATATTTAAAAGCAATATGACAGAGTTATTTGTTTTTTAAGAAAAATGTTATATGCCGTCGAAAATTAAATTATTTTTTCCTTTTCAAATTATCTATCATTTTTAAAAATTATTTATGAATATAATTTAAGAGTATCATTTTTGTCATTTTCTCCTCGTTTTTGCCAACTATTTTTGCAACAACTTTTCCCGCCACCAAAATGGAAGGTTTGTATTTCGTGTGCTATATAATTCTATTTTATATTAATTAAATTTGTAAAAAATATATACGAAAAACATTTTAAGAATAAATTTAAATTATATTTTTTATTTTTTATAAAATTATAAATATAAAGTAGCGTGATTTATCTCATAAAAAATATTAAATTTTATGAAAGGAAAGAATAAATATGAAAAATAAAAGTCAAATATCCATCTTAAATTTTGAACAATTCAATATAATATATTTTGAACAATGAAAAAAACCTCAAACATTCCATTAATATGAATCTCTCATTTTAATTTATGTAATACTTTTAAATTTTAAAATTCAAATAAATCTATTTTGAATAAATTTTTAAAATATTTTTTCTTAATTGTTAATTATCGAAACTTATAGGTAGTGAATTTATTTTTTTAATGTAATTTTCAAATATATAAAATTTTATTTTAAAAAATTTAAAGATTTTAGGTCCATTTTAGAGCGAACTAAAACAATTTTAAGAGTCTTAAAAATCGAATTGCTCAGTTAATTGAAGCGTTTCTAATAGTTCACGTCGAAAATTCCTCATTTTCTGTTTGTCTGTATCAATGTGCACTCCATGTGTTTGTCAAAATGCAGGAATATTCATTCACATATCAATGGAAGAGAATATCCTTACAAAATCATTTTCAGTCTTCTCTGCGATACATTTTCGTGTTCTACGGAAATATCCAAGATTACAGCGTCAATGGCATTGGATGAGGTTTCTTGATTATTTACTTGTCATATAGTTATACATGTGAGACAAAATGAGAGATGTAATTTAGTAGGAAATTCTCTTTATTTATGGTTGATTATAACTTGTAACTTTGTTTGCTGTTCTAAATCACAACATTTTCTCTTATTTCTATTACCCATCATCCAATTCCTTTTAAGAATGCAATACATGGCAGATTTGGTACTATATCCTGTTTTACAGGTGATTCTTGAAAAGTTAGCCACTCCATATGTGCAGAAGTTCCATGATCTCTACCATTTGAAGGAAAACATAGAAAAACTGCAGAATACACTACCAACTGCTAGAGCTTTTCTTGATGATGCACATAAGCGACAAGAAACGGATCAACGTGTTGAAAACTGGTTGGTGAAGCTCAAGGACATAGCTTACCAGCTGGAGAACTTACTGGATGAATTTACTGCAGAAAGTGTAATGTGCGAGAGTCGCAGTGGAAAAGCCAAACAGGTAAGAAGTCTATTTCTACCTTTTGAACCATCAAAGCATCTTTTTGACCTTGCAAAAATGCTACCAAAAAAACTTAAGGAACTAGATGAGATTGCAAAGCAAGGGTTTAGCTTAAATCTTAGAGCGACAACTACAGAAAGACAAGTTGACAATTATGACAGAACAAAAGTAACTGGATCGTTTGTGATAACATCAAAAATATGTGGAAGAGATGATGATAAAAAGAAGCTTTTAGAGCTTTTGTTGACTACATGTGATGGCAAAACTGGTGGGGTTGTTTCTATCATCCCAATTGTAGGTATTGGAGGACTTGGCAAAACTACACTAGCTCAATTAGTCTACAATGATGAAAAGGTCGTTCATTTCTTTGACATTAAAATATGGGTTTATGTATCTCGGGATTTCGATGTAAGTAAGCTCATGTTAAGCATAATACAGTCTGCAACAAAGAGGAAGTGTGAACTCTTGGAGATGGATCTACTTCAAGCTCATTTTCAAGATTCATTGGGTGGAAAGAGATTCTTGATTGTTTTGGATGATGTATGGAATGAAGACCAAGAAGAGTGGGATAAGCTGGGCGACTTATTTCAAAGTGGTGGAGCAGGAAGTAGAATCATTGTCACTACACGGAGTACCAAAGTTGCTTCAATATTGGGAACTACCTCCCCTTATTGTCTCCAAGGCTTGACTGAAGATGATTGTTGGGTTTTGTTCAAGCAACGAGCTTTCAGCAAGGAAGAAGAAGGTGAGTATCCTAATCTGTTGGATATTGGAAAACAGATCATCAAGAAATGTGGGGGTGTGCCTTTGGCAGCAAAAACATTGGGAAGTTTGTTGCGCTTCAAACGAGAAAAAGAAGATTGGATGTTTGTGCAAGAGAGTGAACTTTGGAAACTTGAGAATTGTAACAGTGGCATACTGCCAGCTCTTCGGTTGAGCTACTTACAGTTGCCTCTACACCTCCAACGATGCTTTGCATTCTGTTCATTGTATCCAAAAAATTATGAAATTCACAAGGAAAAGATGATCCACATATGGATTGCTGAAGGCTTGATAACATGTCATGAGAAGAACAGGCAGTTGGAAGACATAGGCAACGAGTATTTTAATGACTTGTTGTGTTTATCATTTTTCCAGGAAGTTAAGAAATTTGATGAGACGGATCTAGTAGTATACATAATGCATGATCTCATCCATGATCTTGCTCGAAGTGTGGGGAGTCAGGACTTCGTGATATTGGGACATGACTTTACTCAAGGTAACATGTCACAGGTTCATCACCTGTCAATCCTTTTCCATTCAGATCCCACTTCATTTCCAAAGGAATTGTATGGTGCCAAACATCTTCGAACACTTCAATTCCTGTTTTGCACCGGAGACATTCCTTCTTCTTTTCCTCTGAACTTTAAATACTTGCGAGTCCTTGATTTAAGTGGTTGTGTGAAGAAGGTGCACGAGTCGATTAGTGATTTGATATGTTTGAGATACCTTGATCTCTCCAGCACCTCTATTCAAACACTCCCTCATACTATTTGCAACCTTTCTAATCTGCAAACCCTGAACCTCTCATTTTGTGGTAACCTAATGGAGTTACCTTTTGGATTGGCTAATATAACTGGCTTAAGGCACCTTAACATAGTGGGATGTAATGGACTGACTCGCCTTCCTGCTGGTCTGGGAAATTTGGTTCAGCTTCAAACTTTGCCTTTATACATTGTGGGCAAAGGGATTGGAGAAAGCATCTCTGAAATCAGTTCTCCCCACATAAGAGGTGAATTGAGTATAAGGGGCCTGGAGAACATCAGAGACAAAGAAGAAGCTGCACTGGCTAATCTGAGGGCGAAGAAATATGTGGAATTGTTAAGACTCCAATGGGGAAGTGAGAACATAGTGAGGATGTCAACAGGGTCTACCTCATACGAGGTTTGCAGAGAAGTTGATGGTACATCAAGATCACTATCAAGGGATGATGACAATGTTGTCGAGGGGATCATTGAGTGTCTTCAGCCACATGTAAACCTCAAAAAACTATATGTCTTCAGCCACATGTAAACCTCAAAAAACTATATATCAAGGGATATTCTGGATTCAGATTTCCAGATTGGGACCTCCCTAATCTAGTTCTGATTGCTTTGATCAACTGCAGTGGATGTGATACTTTACCTACCTTTGGGAAGCTTCCGTTTCTCAAAACACTTTATCTACAAGGGATGGATGGAGTTACACATATCGGTGAAGAATTTTATGGCGGCAAACCCCTCAAATTCCCATCCCTGGAAGACCTAACAATCAAGGACCTTCCCTGCTTAAAAGAATGGTCTTGCATAGAGAACGAAGCAGCAGTATTTCCTCGCCTGCAAAAGTTAGTTGTGGATAAATGTCCTAATCTTATCTCTGCTCCAACATTTCAATCTCTTCTTTATTTGGAGCTCCGTGATTGCCATCCAAAGATCTTGGAGTCTGTGGATAACATGTCTTCACTCTCCAATGTTGTGATTGATGCGCTTCAAGGTCTAGTGCACCTTTCAGGGAAATTGCTGGAGAACAACAAATCACTGGAGACTGTGGAAATACTTTCGTGCAAAAATTTCATTTCTCTTCCTCAAGAGATAGAGCATCTCACTTATCTGAAGTCACTGACCATTAGCAACTGTGAAAAACTAACCCATTTGCCAACAGGAATCCGAAAGCTGCAAGCTTTGGAGTTCCTTGAGATCAATGGGTGCCACAGCTTAGAGTCATTGCCATCAGAAGAATTTGCTGGTTTCAACTCCCTAAAGAGCTTGTCAATTGAGAATTGCGGCAACCTGATTTATCTTTCAAGTGGGTTCCTACATCTCACAGTCTTAGAACAGCTCTCCATCATGAGTTGCCCTCGGTTAACTTTATCTAGAGGTAGTTTCCAGAATCTCTCGTCTCTACGGAGCTTGAGTATTATATCCTGCCCTGAATTATACCCATTGCCAGCTAGCCTTCAACACGTCACTACGTTGCAAAGTCTGGTAATCCATAGCAGTCCTTATCTCACAGATCTTCCTGACTGGCTTGCTAAACTTTCCTCTCTTAGATCCCTTGCAATTTCAAATTGCGAACATTTGATATCATTGCCAGAAGGAATGAAGTACCTCAATGCTCTTCAGCATTTGTCGATTCAAGACTGTCCTCATCTTGAAAGGCTTTGCAAGAAGAAAGGTATGGAATGGCGAAAAATAGCTCATATTCCACACATATATGTTGGTTCACTTAAATTTGGAAGATGACTTTGGCTCCAACTGAAATCTGAAAGAAGAAAACATCTCTTTTCCATCCGCATTGAGATAGCAGAGTAAGCCACCATTGCTTTCACATTTTCTCCCTCTTATTTCTAGGTGCAAGTCATATATGGAAATCCAATTGAGTTTACTTGTCCCTCTGATGTAGCATTCTCAACAATCGATGAAGTTACCGGTTATTCTGAAGTTCAACAGCAGGATACAAGATCAAATATTTCTAGTGAGATCTAGAGGAAGATTTCAGAGTATAATTTTATATGTACTCCTGATGGAAATCAAGTGACTGATGAATCAGAGGATCGGAAAGAAGGAAAAGTCGAAGTTATATATTGTATACAAGTGAATTGTTCGTTTTCTTTTTGCATGAAAATAACTCTAGAACAATAATTACACTTTGATATCTAGCTAGTTGTATATGTCATATATATTCAGGTTTTCCATTAACCAACTTCCCTTTTCTGCTGGATCTAATATAAGCAATTTGAGGTTAATATACATCTTTTTGAAAGGAACTTCTACTTTTAAGTATTGCATGAAGCTACTTTTGATATGATCACTATGGAAAAAATTTGATGCTACTTTGTATATATCCACAGCTCATTGTATTTGCAAGTACCAACCAACTTGCGTTAAGAAAATACTAGCTAGTTGACATTGCTCATTGATGAGCAGGTGAATGTGTAGTTGAGTTGTGTGTAGTTCTATCTTCAGTGTAATGTGTAGTTGAATGAAAATAGCTCATTTCTTTACTTATCTTCAATAAAATCATCAAGCATATACAGATCATAATTACAAACAAAATATACAGAGACTAACAGGAAGTTGCTAAGCTACATGACAGAATGGACTATTAGATCAAAGTTGTACATAATCAGGACGTATATATATAGTCAGGAAGAGGGCATTAAGAAAATTGCGGTGGTTTGAACTTGAGGGATATACTGTTGACACAATGGCGTTCATTTGTTGGGGTACGAAACCATTCACCTTTAAAAACATGACCAAGATGGCCTCCACAAGCAGCACAAGTTATCTCCATCCTTATGCCATCTGGGTCTGGCTGAAATAACATGCAAATCAACTCAAAATGTCTTGTTTTAATTATAGAAACTCTAGCATTAGAAATGAGATTGATAGAGTTCGAGTCACCAAAAGAGTTGTGGTAAAACGATATAAGCATATTTGGGTAGTGATAAGCCACATACGAATGTAGCTAGTGTGATATGAGAAGAAGCTTACATTGCGATTTATGGCCCCAGGGAGACCCTCATAAAAAGAAGGCCAGCCACAGGGTGAGTTGAATTTGGTTGCGGATCTGTAGAGTGGAGTGCCACAACCAGCACAGAGGTAGGTGCCTACACCAAAAAACTTGTTATACTCTCCACTCCCTTGAGTCCTGTAGAGTAAAAATCAGGGATACTTAATTATACGCATCACACAACTACAATATTCGTTTTTATGTTTGTTAATTTTGTCCATTACAGATACAGATTTAAGAAGATTGTAACTACAGCATACATACTCTGTGCCTTTCTGTCTCAAAATCCGGAATTGGTCAGGGGAGAGAATGGCACGCCATTCCTCCTCTGACTTCTGAACGGACCCCGCTGCCGCAACCCGGAATCGGGTATTGGATAGGCCACGAATGGGAACTGCTTTTTTGGAGTTGAAAATTAAATTTTTTGAAGGAATAATTGGCCAAAATTTTAGAATCTGAGAGTCCATGGAAATGATTTTTTTTTCTTCTTACTCTCAACACATTCATATAATCAGTTAATTGCTTCACAAATTCCACCTAACTGACTTTATCTATATTCTGGAATATCTGATCATATTTATGTGGATAAAACACCACAAAAAAAAAACAGTAAATTGTTAAATATTTTCTTGTGTTTTTTTCAGTTTATTTTTGTTTGATGTTACAGGACCGGTCGCCCGTTAACGTGATAGGTTAAATTATTAAATTTGACCTAATTAATACCACAGTTTAACTTTTATGACAGTATCTATGGACATTACCATTATTTATCATTTTTATTATTATTATTATGTGCAATTAATTAAGAAGAATTCTAGATTATCTTCAAATTTGTTGAGTAACAATTTGTTAGCAATATAATGTTATTTTAATTTCTAGTTGACTTTGTGCAATCAAAGGTTTAGAAGAATTCCTCTTATTTTCAAATTTTATGGGCCTACAACGCTGAAAAATTTAGCTAATTAGTAAAAAAAAATCAAATTATTTAGGGATAATATCTATACTTTAATAATGTTAATAAATATATAAAAAATATTATTATTTTAAAAATAAATAATTATTCAGATATTATTAATATTTTCTCTCCCATATATTTTTCTATACTTACAAGTCTAAATGAGAATGCATGCAAATTATTTGTATAACTTTTTTTTTATCGCTGTACCGCAACAATACGAATGAATCAGACGGAATAGTTCAACAAAAAAGAAGCTTCTTTATTAATATACTTTTTAAAACTTTGAAATGGATTTGTATTTCTTTATTCAAATTCAAATTGTTTGAGCTAATAATTGAATAATTATTGAACGTGAAAATATTTTTAAATACCTTGCTTATATATAATTGTTTGCAACAAATTTTAAACATATGGAAAATAAACAAATCATACAAATAAAATATGAAGAAACATAATTTTATTGATTAAAATAGCGGGTACAATTCTGTTGATCTCTTAGTTCTACTCTCCTAGGATTTATCCATGATTCGAATGCCGTTACTGGCGTATTTCTCGAACTAGGATGATTTAGATTTAACTTCTCTACGTGAATAATCCATCAATTTGTGGAGTATTCGAGATCTTGATCTCTTTATGAAATTTTCGAGATACCTTTTAAGGGAATTTAACACTTGCATTACTACAGACTATATATCTCACATTTTAACATGTTAATACGAAATGATTTATGCAGCGAATATTCCTTAATAAATTCCAAAACTACTAAATAAAAATAAAAATAAAGTACACTATTTACGTACTTTGAAATGTAATTCAATATGGTACCAATTCCAAATCCTAAGTCAAAAAAGGAACCATCCACTTACATTATTAACACGTTCGTAGTCGCAATTCTCATATTTGGACTAATTCCTAATCGTAATAAATTTTGGAGTGTGGAAGCAACGCGCAAATGGAATAATTGAAAAACCCCAAAACTATAAATAAGCATTCCCAAAAAGTCAAATAATCACCAACCACTGTCGTCCATTCCGTCCAAATAAGTAAAATTGCCTAATTATATTGGGAAGCCTACCACTCCAATTACCAAAACCCATCACCTCCATACCTATTCCATTCTGTCACCTGCTCCATATTTCGAATACAAATCTGGGTTTTGGAGCTCTCTCGCCATAGCCGCTATTGCTGTTTTCTACAATTTGTGTTTCAATGGCGGTTGCGAGTAGTTCTCTGACAGGTGGAAGTTTCAATTTAAGTTCTACGTCTTGTTCTACGTCGTCTTCTCCTTCTCTGGATTGTTTTCGTCATCAACTTAGTTTTTTCGGGAGTCGGAGAAGAATTAAGCCGTTGGTATATTGGACGAGATCGCATTCCTTGAGCCCTAAATGTGAGTTATCTTCTAACTCGGTGGTGAAAAATGGCAAAAAGGAATCTAGAACATCGAGTCTTTCTGCTTTGGAACTTCTGAAAACTTCTGCTGCTGATCGTAAGCCTTTTTTTTTATCTCTCTTATTTTTTACTTGAAATTTTGGTATTATAGCTAGAGTTTTGTGATATTTTTCTAATCTCAAGTCCTTGACCTTGATTGAACTATAATTATTGACAGTAGCTAATTAGGGATTGAGGTTTGGTATTCACTACAGCTGAATCCGTGGCTTTGATTGAACTATAAATCTGTGGTATTTAGTTGATTGGGATTGAGGTGTAGTTCATTGATTGATATATGGATGGATAGTTTGAGTTTACTTAAGATGTTTGAGAAAGAAGGTTAGAGTTTTTATAGTCTAACATAGGTAACTTTTTGGTGACAGGATATACAAAGGAGAGTAGCAGCATCATGGTTATTGGACTTAACATTCACACAGCACCAGTCGAAGTGCGGGAGAAAGTTTCTATCCCAGAAGCACAATGGCCTCAAGCAATTCGCGAACTGTGTTCTTTGAATCATATAGAGGAAGCTGCTGTATTGAGTACTTGTAACAGAATTGAAATATATGTTCTGGCGCTTGCCCAAAATCGTGGAATTAAAGAAGTGACTGAGTGGATGTCTAAGGTAATTTTTTCTTCGAGCATCATTTATCTGCATTATGTTTCCTTTTGTTGACCAGCATCTTCAACCCGTCTAATAAACTAGCAACACTGTCATATAAAAACTGCGTTAAACTCTGATGAGCATCATCTACCCTATGTCGCTTGCAGTAAGATTTGAACAAATTCATGTTGGTTTCAAAGGTTTACGAATTACCTTGCATATTCTCCATCATGAAAGATGCACTTCAATGATAAACAAAAGATTTTGACTTGCTGTGCCATTTATACACTGCATTCTACATTTGGGAAGGAATTGTATTTATTGTACTATGCTTTGGTTCCCCTGCTCACTAACGTCATTGCAAAGGTCTAACTACCTAAGCACAGATATGCTACAATGTTCACTTTTTGTTGTACTTTATATGCAAACCTTTTTGACACAGATCTTTGTTTGGCAGTTTAGTGGAGTTCCAGTTACAGAGCTATGCCAACACCGGTTTTTGCTATACAATCAAGATGCCACACAACACCTGTTTGAAGTAGCTGCTGGACTAGATTCCCTAGTCCTGGGAGAAGGTCAAATTCTTGCACAGGTCAAGCAGGTTGTTAAGAATGGACAAGGTGTCCCTGGCTTTGGTAGGAAAATAAGTGAGCTATTTAAGCGTGCAATCACAACTGGTAAGAGGGTAAGAACTGAGACCAATATCTCCAGCGGATCAGTATCAGTCAGTTCAGCGGCGGTGGAGCTTGCTCTGCTGAAACTTCCAGAGTATTCTTCTTCTATGGCTCGTGTGTTAATTGTTGGAGCTGGCAAGATGGGAAAGCTTGTGATCAGACACTTGGCTGCTAAAGGGTGTAAAAAGATGGTTGTCATTAACCGGACAGAGGACAGAGTTGCTGCCATCCGTGAGGAGTTGATGGATGCTGATATAGTATATAAACCTTTCTCAGAATTGTTAGCATGTGCTGCTCAGGCTGATGTAATATTCACATGCACTGCTTCGAAAGCCCCTTTATTCATAAAAGAGAGTGTTCAAGCTCTCCCTTCTGTGGACTCTGAAGATGGATGCCGGAGGCTATTTATCGATATTTCTGTTCCTCGGAATGTGGAGCCTAGTGTTGCTGAAGTTGAAGGTGCAGATGTTTACAATGTGGATGATCTTAAAGAGGTTGTGGAAGTTAATAAGGAGGATCGGTTGCGGAAGAAAATGGAAGCTGAGACTATCATTGCTGAGGAAGTGAAACAATTTGAAGCACTTAAAGACTCCCTTGAAACCGTTCCAACTATCAAAAAGCTCAGGGCATATGCTGAAAGAATTAGGTCTGCTGAGGTTGACAAATGTTTGTCTAAGATGGGTGATGATATCCCCCAACACAAGAAGAAGGCTATTTATGATCTTAGTCTAGGGATAGTAAACAAGCTGCTACATGGACCAATGCAGCATCTGAAATGCGATGGAGCTGAAAACCGAACTTTGAGTGAAATACTTGAAAATATGCACGCCCTTAACAGAATATTTGGTCTTGATACAGAGATGTCTGTATTGGAAGAGAAAGTACGAGCCAAGATAGAACAAAATCAAAAGCAATCCTCTTGAGGTTCTTCTGCCATTCAGCTAGAAAAGGTCAATAACATTCAGCAAAGTTCAATCAGGAATGATCATCATTTCAGATCCTTTCCTGACAGTTTGCTAGTTTTGACTGTATCAAATTAGAGTACACAGAACAGATGTGAAATTCTTTGTTTTAAACCATAGGTAGCCAACATTACACGAAAGATTCCCTCAGATTGCGGGAAAGTCTGCCATAGTTGCAGTTGTATTTCTTACATAAGAGTATATATCCATCCATTTGTTGAATCCAGATGAGTATTCATAATATATCAGAAGTTCATGAGGGCTTTGTGAAGCTTCTCACTTTACTGTCTCAACTTCGTTCTGTCTGTTATTTCCTTTTTATTTCTACGTGGGCTAAAAAAAAAGGTGGGCAATTACATCAACACTTAAGCATATATAAGATGTTTTGGCATCTTTGGAAACAAATTTCCATCCTGTTTAGTTTAACAAATCAAAAGCAGAGATATTTAAAGCTAAAAGTCAATAAGGGAAACTGAAAATCCAATTTATTCATTATCATCCCCTGAAAATCCCATCAATTTTTTGAGACCAGGGAAAAAAGAAGAAGAAGAAGAAGAAGTAGAAGAATTGAACTCAGAAATGTTTTCAACTAAGTACTCATCGACTAATTCTTTAACAGACCTCGCAGATAATGGATGAAAATGGGCACCCCATTCTAAAACAAAACTTTTAACCAAATCCCATTGTTCCTCCTCACTGAACTTCTTCCATTTCTTCTTCATTTCCTCCGATTTCAATCCCGTGTAGTGGCAAAACTCAACGAACAAAAGCTCTTTGCTTTTCTTCAACGCTTCCTCTTTCTGTATCATCTGGGTGTTCATCTTTCCAACCTCTGTTGCAAAATCTGATGCCAGGTCAATATCGTTCATGTCGTCGTCGTTGTTGGTGCACGAGACTTTGTGAAACTTGGGATGATTCTTGAAGGTATACATCGAAGGGACCAAATTGGTTTGGGAGTTTGTGAATTGTGAAGGGAAACGATTTGGATAAAGAAGATGAATTGTCAAAGCCATGGAAGGAGGATTGGCGTTGGTTTTTTTGGATTTTAAAGATTTCCTTTTTTAATGAGATTTATATGATTATTAGGGCTGCTTGCTTGCAGTGTTCAAGTTTTTGCACCGACTGCCTGTCTATATTTTTTGTCTGGTCTTTAATTCTATCTTTTATAGTTCAGTTTATGACACATACTGTAATGATTACTAGAAAAACAGATTTTAGGGTTTGTTACTTTGTTTAGTAGTACAATGATGAACCAATTTCATGGAGTGTCACAATTCATAAACTTTTGACGTTTGACTACTTAACGAGTAGCAAACCAATTTTATTGCAGAAAAAGGAAAATGAGAATTCCACAACATATAAAATGTATATATGTTGTTAAATATTTACAGTAAAAAGAAAACGAAGAGTATAATTGGGAGAATTGATAAGAAATTAAAGCCATTTTTAGCATAAAGAATAGATTATTATCGAGCAACTTGAACAAATCTTTTTTTTTTTTTACATTTCACACGATTATAATAATACATTATACATTCTCCACCCAAAAACACAAAATTTGAAAAAGAAGAGACCACCTGATAGAAACAAAAAAAAGGAAGAAAAAAAAATATAGCAATGTTTGTACATGTTCTACAAAGTTTCTAAGTGGGGAACAGGTATGAGGTGAAAAGGGAAAAAAGAAAACATCTCTAACCAAAGCCCCTTGAAAAGGGAAAAAAGAAAAAAAATAATTCTTAGTATATAAACTCTAGGCCTTTTGGCTTATAATCAGCCCCCATTTTCCTCCCAATAGGTAAGCACCAGAAAACATCTGTAACCAAAGCCCCTTGAACAAGGCTAAACAGTTTCAAAGGTCAAATCTCCAACCCCCCTCCCCCCGCTACCCCTCCAAATGATAGGAAGAATGTAAGGGAATACAAAATAATGAACTGGTTCTACCACCTCCTTCAGATCAGCAAGTTTGTAGTTGTTGTCAAAAAAGCTGACGTCTTGATGTATCAGGAGCTCAGTTGCAAATGAATCACGCAAGCTTTGCAACCATCTATAGTGATCACCCTGTCTCTAAAATATGAGGAGTGATTAGCTGGGCCAAGATATCAACCCATGTATCTGGAACACCAGGAAGGCACCAATGCATACAGTCTTGACCCCAGACCGATACTGCATCCTTTTTCCCCAACCAAATGGCAGGATGGGCATCTGCACGGAACTCACTCAAGTGAGTCAGATCGAGGCTTCTGATAGTTGTATCTTTTAAAACCTCTTCGATCAAATGATTTAGTCGCCTTGCTTCTTTGTTAACCCCATTATATCTGGGATCAAACCACAGATCAAGCTGTTCAGGTATCAGTAAGATTTTCTTCAGAAAACTTATCAGTTGTCACTACTTACTGTAATAAACTTTCAAGTGCATAATAGTCCCTATAATTTGTCAAAAAATGTAAACAGGAAATCTAATGGTCTGAGAAAATGTAGATGTGGGAACAAGCACTTTTTTCTATCAGTAGGAAAATCACTTGTTGAAGGAAGTTAGATTACAAACATGTTAAGTTAAATACTTTTGTATCAATTGTCAGACAAAATAAGCTTTCTTAGGAGGCAAATCCTTGCTAAGTTAGACTAAAAAACATGTTGAGTTAAATATATAACAAATTATCCATGTCTTTCAACTTTACTTGCATGAGTTTGTAGACTAAGCAATGCATTTCCAAGTGATTTCTATTAGTATGCAAGGGACATTTCTATTAGTAACTAACCAAGTTGATTACCTTAAGAAAGTGGAAGTCTCAAATTCACCAAAAAGTGCTACATTTGCATACCTGAAGTTCATCAAGGGGTTCATCCATTGTGCAACTACCATTTTGATTCCAATCACCACCGTGAAAGTGCCTTGGTGATTGCAAGCGCCAAAACTTAAGTGTTTTCTCTGGTAATTCTTTATCTATATAGGCAATCATATTCTCAAGAACAACCTTAAACCCATCAAACATCTCTAATGGAGGTTGAATCAATTGCCCTGCCTTGTAGAAAACAAGAGGCGTCTCTTTAGGGAATTTGTCAAAGCCCCACCTAGAAGATATTAATAACCATTAAAGCAAAGGAGTTAGAGATAATACGTTAATAACTAGAGTCGGTGAAATAATTTGAAATGTCAGGAAAACCATCATTAGTCCGACCTGTGATTATAGGAGTACTTGCTTTTAAGTTTGATCAAACACAACCGGAATCATTTTTTTAATCAAGAAACACAACTGGAATCGTTAACAGTGCAAAGTTGCTGCACACAACAAATTACCAGCTGATCTACCTAGCCCATCATGTATTGGAACTTCAATTTCCTCTCCGTTACACACACATATGAAAGAACAAAGATAACACCTTCCACTTAAAAAACATGTACATTTTTCTACTGAATAAGGCGAAATTTTGCTTTTTGGCAATGCATAAATTTATAATTTTATTTTTCCCATTGAAGATAGATAGGAGTTCAGACCTTTATGTCTTCGAATAAAATTTTAGAGCTTTTCAAGTTTCAATAGTGGTACAGCTAGGTGGTTAGCATCCAAAGGTGGCTGAAAATTCCATCCATACAGGTGATGTGTTTGCAAGGTTGGGCAGGTAGTTACAACAACAACAACAAACCCAGTGTAATCCCACAAGTGGGTTCTGAGGAGGGTGATGCACATGCAGTCTTACACTTATATTCATAAGGTGAAGGCAGATAGATTGTTTGTTTCTGATAGACCCTCAGCTCAAGTAAAGCATATCAAAAATCAAGTAGGTTGGGCAGGTAGTCAATGTTAATATTTTCACCCAACAACCCACTGTCATCCAGATGCTTAATTCAATTTTTTTACATATTATGTAAGAGAAACTTCAACTGAAAATGAAAATATTTCACAATAAACAGAGGAAAATTGGCCATTCTATTTGGACAGCAGAAGTGATAGACATATCAGCGAATGTGCGAAAAAGTAAAAACAGCATGAAGGAAGGCACAAAAATTACCAATGACCAGTGTTGAAGACTAGAACATTGTAAAAGGCACCAATATGAGCCCAATCATCTGCTGGAATATCAACATCTACTCGATATCTTCCCTTCAATCCATCTTGGTTGGAATCGTCAAGCTGTTTTGGCAGCCACCTTATTTAATCAGTAATGAGCAAGTAAGATTACGACTTCAAAGAAAACTCACATCATACTTCAGACTGATATCCAACTTTGGCAACACTCAAGAATGAGGACAAACTATGTAATGCAAATGGTACACAAGATACAGTTTTCATTTCTGTTAGCATAATTAACCAGACAAAACGAGAACTTTTTAAAAAATTAACGTAAATGGTCAGTTGAGGAGCAACAGCCGTATCAAGAAGCTAATCTACACTCTTCTAATGACCAAAGTCCCTTTATGATGTCAGATACTGAAGCTAGTCACAATTCAAGTTCTATTTTACACTTGAGCACTCATCCAGGCAACAAGTTATAGCTCATACAACAAAGAGTTTCAAGTTAAAGCTCCAATTTCATTGTAAAAATATGACTTTCTACATTAGCCAATACAAGCATATGACTTACGTAACAAAAGTAAATTAATGCTACAAACATCCTGGAATGAACAGACTTTTTCTTGGAAAATTGCACTATGAATCCTAGCCTTCCAAAGCTCCTTCCTTCAAAATTATTCTTGGAAGAACTAGAATTTGAAATTAGCCGTGGATAGGAAATCATAGAAGTTGCTCAGCCATTATTTTGTATAATCAATCTATAAATATAGGGAACCACAACTCACAGTACAGCCATGAATTCTCCAACTTTCAGTGTTGATAAGCAACCATGATTAGGTGCAAACTCAATAATATCTGGTAAAAAATTGTCATTTGCTACTAAACAACACAATATCAAAACTAATATTTGCATTTGCTACTAACAACACAATTTATAACAAGAATCTCGGAATATATTACAATATCAAAACACGTTAAAAGTATAACGTATAAAGCAATATGCTCACTCATATTTGGCTAGCAAAACAGCACGATGATAACCCACGGTAACATTGAACTTTGGAAAATAGGCTCCTCTCCAAGCACCCTTTCTCTTCCATTTCTTTGCACTAGAATCAGCCACTCTAAGAGTACACAAAAACGAAACCAAGAAATTCTCATTCAACGAATCTCCAACAAACCCAATATTCTTGTTCCTCATTGAACCCAAGAACCCAACTGGGTCGATCCGAGTTAAATCACACTTGTCGGGTTTCCATTTCCAAGAATTGATCCGACCC